CCCACACCCCTTTTTCGCGTCTTTTTCCTGGGATCGAGAAGTATGCCCTGCAGGGCCGAAAGTCACTGAACCCCGACCGGGCTAAGAATAAAACACCCCGGCTGCCCAAAAGCGGACTTTACCTCGCAATAATTTAGGAATGTCCCGTTCGTTGTAAACGTGTCTAGTCTGTGCTTCAGTTGCGTGACCGCGCTCCGTACATCCGTCACCCCTCGTAAGCAGCCACATCCTCTAACAGTTTTTTGGTACTGACTACACTCGGGCTTGAATGACTCGTTTCCTCTGACTCGATGACTCGCTCGATTCCGGACACGCTCGTCACCTGTAGGACGGGACGCAATGGATGATTCACTCACTATGCTAAATGGATATCGTCCGCATCCTGGGTAAAATGCAAATAATTTAATTGTCCGGAGGATGATTTATCACCAGCGTAAAATTTAACGCAGAAATAAACACGCGTAAAAAGCAAAGGGCACGTGTGTATGTGTGCTTCACGTCAACATCGTTTTTGCCCACAATAAGTCGATTGATCGCTCGCCTTGCGGACATGTCGAGATGTTTTCAGTGCAGTGCTGCTAGCCTCTTGAGAGGGCGGAAACGTGCGAGTGCTCTGTAGTACCGTGTTTACACTTGTTTCGATGGGACAAGGTGAGATTGGGTACGGCCTGACCCGCGCCCCGCGCCCCGCGCCCCGCCGGCCGGCTCCACGAGCAGATTGAGGGAGCACTGGGCCAAGGTCCGCTGGCCCGGGCGGCCGCATCGGACCGCTGCTGTTGGTGGTGATTGCGGCCCAGAGCGGCCCGGCCATTCTACGTCTAAAAATGGTGAGCATCAACGACCTTAACGACGGCGATATGCGGACACCAAACACCATCTCTCCACCCGGCGCACAGTGGGGAAAAATTTCGACAGTCCACGTAGTTTTGACTAGGTTTTTTGTGGGGGTATGAGGGAGCGTATTTGAATAACATTCTCAGAAGACGTGTGCCGGAAAGTGATTGGTGTATTTCAACGGCACACCGTATCGGTGTGGTTGCAATGTCAATCACACACCAAGTTGTTTAGGAACAAATATCTAGGAGCAGGTAATGATTTCCACCAGAGTGTCGGCGATGACCTTGGCCGACGACGGCAGCTCCAGCCCGGCGTACGCGTCCTCTGCAAAAAGTGTCATTCAGTTCACCAAGTGTATTAAAAGGGTTAAACACCTGTTAGGACCGCTGTGCAGTCAGTGGTGCTCACCCTTTTCGAACTTTTCGGTCTTGACGGTGGAGAAGCTGACGGGCATGTCGTTGCCGTGGGCGGGCTTGATCTTGAGCTTGTCGCTGCAGACGGGCGCGGGCAGCACCAGGGCCTGGCGCAGGTGGCCGTCGAGCCAGACAGCCCAGAGCTTGGGCAGGCGCATGGTCACGAACTGCACGGGGCCCGCGGACAGCGGCTTGTTGTCGATGGGGGAGATCTGCAAGGAGGCGGGGTTAAGGCGCGCGAGTTTGAATGTTTGGCGCCAGCAGCGCGCCGACAGCGAGTGGTTGGGGCGCCCGCCGCCAGGCAGCAGCACGCGCCGGGGCGGCAGCGAGTGGCGCGGCGTGCAGAGGGGGTACAAAACCACAATGACCTCGCACCATGTGACCTCGTAGGCGCTGCGTGATTTTTGGACCCTGGTTATAAATATCATTTGGTCCCAGCTCTAAGTTTCAATCTGGTTTCAATGGTGGTCCAGAAACAGAACTCGTATAGGCGCCGAGTGATATTTGAATCCTGGGGGGTATAAATGTCATTTGGTCCCTGCTATAAGTTTTAATGGTGGTCCAAAACCTTCTGATTGGGCATAAAAACATACCCCCCCCCCCCAGTCACCCTGCCTTCCTCCTCTAGCTAGACTATAGCAAGTGGTAAGTACACCTCCCCCGCCCCGAGCCAAGACAAGACACGACCCCTTACCGTGCGGTTGAGGTGGCAGTGCCCCGCGCCCTGGGCGTTGCAGCCCGTGTAGAAGGAGTAGCTCATGGCGCCCCCGGTCGCGGCGCCGTTCACCGCCAACTTGTTGCACTCCTCGGCCGTGCACATGAGCAGCTCGATGGCCTTGTGGTGCGCGGCGAAGTCGACGCGCGAGACGACGGCCTTGTCGGCATCCTGGAGCTTGTGGTCCGTGGTGGGGATGGCCAGCGCTGGAGAGGAAACGAGCCGCCTTCGTCAGGGAGAGTTCGAAACGATCATGTCGTTGCGACGGAATCGTTTCGACGCGCGTTTTCCACAACCATTTCGCGCGCACGCGGCTCACCTGTGCGGAGGGGCGCGGTCAGGGCGAACAGGCCCAGGAGGACGAGGAGGGACTGCATGGTGCTGCGGCGCGGCTGCGACTGGCGGTCAAGCCGCTGACCACGGCCACCGAGGCCACGGTGGGCACGTCACGTAGGGGGCACCGGGGAGCACCTCACCCCTTCCCTCGCGAACCGTCCAGCCGTGTTTTGGCACAATCTCTTATGTCATTGTGATAACTGACTCCCCCCCCCCTTCTACTCCTCGCGTCTTCTGTCCCAGACTAGACCGGATCGTTTATCGCATTTCCGAATCGTGACTCGCGTGTTCGCGAGTGTCGCTTATCAATAGTGGACCGCTAGATTTTGAGAAGCCGTGTACATATTTCAGCAAAGGGGGAAGCTAAGGCGGGCACGATGGATGATGGGGCACGATCTGACGATCACGGTATAGGCACTAGGCTTCTTTTAGTGTAGTTTCGTTTGAGAACTTTGGGTTGAACAGAGCCCAAGTAAGGGACAAAAATGAGAACAAAAATTTGAATTAAAATGTTAATTTATCCTAAGAGATACAAAGAAACATACCACAACATCCATATTGATTGTTGTTGGGTTTTTACTTAATTAAAAGTAACAAGGTAAGAATACAAGCTAAGTGAATAATTTACATTTAGCTTTCAAGGACTAATATGACTAAGTTACATCTTACAATTTGAACAGTTCTGAGTCAGTATTTATGGACCACTTTCAGAATTCAACTGTAATTTTTGAATTTTTCCTAATATCCTTTTGACATTAATTATCTGATGAACTTCCTCAGCAGTTGATTGCAATATAAAAATTGCAGCTAGATAGGAAGTGGGATATGGCACAGCTTTGTACAAATTTTCTTGCAATTTAGCAACCGTCCATTTTTTTAGAGATGGGAACAATGGCATGGTTAGTAATCGACTGGCAGCTGTGAATGTACAAGGATGTGTGGAACTCAAACCTGAGACTTCTTTTAACAGTTCGTAGGGTGCAGAGAAGGAGATAGGGGATACATACAACTCACGGGACATCTGGATACGACTTTGAGGTAATAAGAGGAAATTTCCCAACTTATTATCAATGTTTGAGTCTCCTCTTAACAGGAGATAGTCTCGCAATGAAGTTGCACATTGCTGTAAACAATCATGTAAGACAGTTCGAGCTGCCTCGATCATTTTATATATAAGGCCAAGGGTTGGACCTTCAATATCTCTCACCATGTTTGCATCAGCCATTAACTCATGTAAAAAAGATATATCGCGTAGTCTACTAACACAGTTTGTTACCACCATTATATCAATATCAGAGGGAAATTTCAGCACTTTTGATGTTTCTTTCATCACACAGAGTATTTTGTGAAAAACCACCAATTGTGTGATAAAAACATGGTCTGCTAAGTCATTCTGTAAAGAATTTACCAAATAAAAAACTTTTGGCTCAATGCTTTGTATTTTTGTAAGTGCTTTGCAAACTTCCTCCCGATTGAAATATAGAAAGTTTACAATTTGTTCATAGGTCACTAGCTTATTTTCTTTCACAATGGAACACTGTCTCACCAAAACCTTAAACCACCTATCTTTCATGAAGAATTCTTTCACTAAATCAATCACACCAAAGAATTTTTTCCCCCACTCAGAGTTATAACACTTTTGAGCTATCTTGTCATCCAAACGGTGAGAACTGTTCCAGACTTCAGCAACATTGGGATCCTCACTGTGGAAGAGATCACAAATGATGAGCATGTTATATGTAAATTGTTACACATGCTAGTGCAAACAATATTGTAATTCATCAGTTACTGCTACTGCTTTTCTTATACCACAATTGTACCTGTGGAACAACTTGTAGAATTCTGTACAGGCTGGTGTACCATCCATACTTATGCCGAGTAGGGATTCCTTCCAGTGCACAGATGCCTCAGAGCATAGATTTTTAAAGCAACTGTAGAGCTCCTGGCCAGATGCTGAAGAGTCTACAAGTGCCAGCAAACATTCCACAGGTTCTTGGTGTGAGATATAGCGCACTGCTATGAAAATAAACTCACGCTCTGAAGGACCTTGGCACTGTAAAATAGATAGATTAAGTGTGACAGTAAAACAAATTGAAGACACTCCTAAAGTCAATCAAATGTGTGTTTATCTACAATGGATAGCACACTTGGCTATCCACCCACCTTTCCCGTAAGAAGTACACAGTGTGTGCTGAGTGCTTCAGTTAAAACCTGAATGCAGGCGTCTTTGGCCAAACCTTGAAGCACAGCTTCCTGATTACAAATCAATAATCTTCCCAGATCTGATAGTTCAGCACCCTGTAATCATGTTGCAAGTTAAGTGCAAACTTGGTCTCATATATTTAAGAGAGATAAGAATTCTTAAAAGTATATTATACATAT